AGCAAGAAATATGGGTGGTGCTTTCCTCACCAGAGAAGATTACATGGGCCTGGGAGCAGAGAAGAGGGATGGCCTCTAGAACGTTCTGGAGCTGGATTCATGTCCTTCACATGAAGGACTAGGGCCGAGCCTGCCGCTGCCCCATGAACTCCTGCTCATCCCCCTTGCACCTGGGGCATAAGAGACCGAGTCGCCTAGAGTCTGTAAAAGCCAAAGAAAGGAACGGTAGGCATTGTCAGAAAAGAACGGAGGCTTAAGGAAAGATTTCAAGAGAGCCAGAACCAGAAGGAAATGAGCACAAGGCCAGAAAATCTGAAAGGAAACATGATAGACTTAAAAATATGGGATTTAGATAATAAAGTGAAATGATCCTGATCGAGGACGGCAAGGAGGACACGGTTCCTGAAGAAGGCAGCCTGGGGACCGCGCCTGTCCTGCAAGGAATCTCCGAGGAGCCCAGGCGGGAAGCGTGCACTAGGAGGGGAGAGAGACAAGTACAAAGGAGCCTGCCGGGGAAATGAATGGCCAGCGTGCGCTTAACCATGCAGAAAATGCTAACAACAACAGGGACCTTTTTGAGTTCTCTGCTGGCCGATGCAGGCAAGTCAGCACGGAAGCTGATGGCCAAGCGAAGCCCAGTCACTCAGCTGCTCTCTAGTGCCCGCTGCCCCCAGCACAGACCTGGTAGAACCACGTGGTAAAGGGAGAAGTAGAGCCCAGAGAGCCAAGAGAGTAAAGGAACGAACACCTGGTGGCTTGAAGCAGGTCCAGGCTAGGCCCGTGAGGTTATGTCCCAAGTGCAGGATGACCTTGGGGAGCCCTTTTAAACCTCCACTTTAATAACCACTAGCAGGATCCTTGAGAAACCGTTGAGCAGGGCCAAAAGTCTCATAAGGCACAGTGTTTCTCTAATTCTCCAAGAGCAGATCACGATGAATGGGAACCACATTGTACAGGGAGGCACTCTGTCAGTCCATGGCCAGACGTCAGAGTGGATTACCACACATGTGGTCTGTGAACTCCGAGGGAAAAAGAAGGTGGAGAAGATTCAGAGTCAGCAGGGGGGGACTTGTAGCCCCTCGTCCTGTTAGCCTCATTGCCTTTGGGTTGTGCTAGAAAAACTGGTAGATAGGGGCATTGTCACTGTCATAGACTCACAGGATATCAGGGCTGGATGCAACTTTAATGTACTTTAGTTTGGGCTCCAGTGACTGGAGCCCTAAACAGTTAAGGAGACTCTCTGGGCAATATGGAGACTTGGACTCTCCCACACCTCCAGCCTTTCCCTTGGAGTCCCACCCAAACACATGGTATTTCAAGAGACATCTAGCAAAGGCCACAATTATGGGTTGGATGATCTTAGAATTACAGGTTTTATAACTGCTTGAACAGCCAAAATCCAGAGTCTTAATTTATTACCCAAGCATCAGCTTGAGCAAAGTTCCTGTATATAGCCCTGTCTGCTCAGTACTTTAAGAAATTATTCAGCCCTGTCCAGTGTGGCTTAATTGGTTGGACATCATTCATGCACTGAAAGGCTGCTGGTTCAATTCCTGGTCAGGGCACATACCTGGTTTCAGGCTCGATCCCCAATAGGGGGCATGCAAGAGGCAGCCAATCAATGTTTCACTCTTATATAATGTTTCTCTCTCTCCCTCCCCCTTCCTCTCTCTCTAAAAAACCAATAAAAATATTTTTAAGAAATGAAGAAAGAAATGATTCACGTATAGAAACAGAACACCCAGTTCGAAATGACACAAAAATGAGAGAACGTTATGGGAAAGAATCCACATTTTCTCAATGCATTGGAACAAAGTCAGAACCTACAGTATGCAATTTAAAGAGACGATATTGTATGTCAACTTCAGTTGAAAATTAATTTTTTAAAAATAAAGGGATAAATAATGGAGGGTTTTAAATTTTTTACAAATGCTGAATGAGGAAGACTTAGCTCAATACCAGCTCTCGTGAAAAATGCGTAGGGATTTCACTGTAAACACAATGTGAAGAGAGTAATGGGACTGCCAAGGAGGCTGATGCAGCCTTATGCTGTGTGGGAGGCAGAATGATGGCCTCCGAAGATGTCCGTGCCCTAATCCTGGAAGGTATGAATATGTCACTTTATATGGCAAAAGGGATTTTGCAGATATGATAAAATTAAGGATCTTGAGATAGGGAGGTTATCCTGGATCATCTAGGTCGCCCAGTATACTCACAGGGTGGTTATGAGTGAAAGAAGGAGGCAGGGGGGTCAGAGTAAGAGAACAGAAGTGACAACAGAAGCAGAGGTAGGAGTCATGCAGGGCCACCAGCCATGGAATGCAGGTAGCCTCTGGAACCTGAGAAAGGAAAGGAAATGGATTGTTCCCTGGAGCTTCCAGAAGAAACACAGCCTTAATGACCCACTTTAGACTTCTGGCTTCTAGAACTGTAAGGTTAACAAATTTGCGGTAATTATTGCAGCAGCCACAGGAAACTAATACAGGCTGCATTAATAGTGGTGAGAGTGTCCAGCCAAGCCAGGTTGTACAATGCACTCATTGGATCGTATCTAAAAATGTGATCACATCAGTTCTGGTTTGGGTTTTAAGAAGCATGTTGACAATGTCAAGTACGCACCAGATGTTGATTAACTTCAAAGTTATAACAAATGAAAACAAACTGAAAAGATTGGGTATTTTCACCCTGAATAATATTAAGACATAACAGTGGTCTTTAAATGTTTAAAAAGATAATATGGCAAAGAAATATTAAGACCACTGAAACCCCAGAAGGAAGAATTACAACAAATGAGTTGGAGTTATAGGGAAATTTAGGTCTTTTTTTCCCCCCCTTTAAGGAGCAAAACAGGAAGAGTGGGGGGAGGAGAGAGAGGGAGAGGAGAGGGAGGGGGAGAAGGAGGGCAGAGGACACACACACACACACACACACACACACGAGTCCACCAAAATTCAGGTCATTTTAATGAAAACATTTACAACAATCAGAGCTGCAGAGTAAATGCTGTGCCTTGTTAGGTAGTAAGCTTCCCATTACTGGAAGCATTCAATCAGAGGCTGAATGGCCACGACTCAGAGATGTTAGAAAGAATTCCTCCATAGGGTCAGGCTTGGTAAAGAAAACTGACTAATTTGAGGACTTGACTCAGAAAGACAAGGCATATTTCCACTGGAGTCCAAGTCTTCCTTGTGCTAAAATTTGTAATTAAATCTCTTAGAAAAATAAAAGGCATTAGCAGGGGTTCTTACTTCCGTTGCTTGTGTAATTCTCACTGCTGTTTTTAAATCTCCTTGAGAGCTATCATCTTGATAAGTAAATAAAGGCTTGAGGTCAACATCTCACAGTTGGTGTATTTCAAAGATAGCAAAGCCACCCTAGTGGGGAGCCCCAGGTCAACCGGAGGAACCCGCAGTCCCCCCATTCCTACCCTCAGGCTCACTAGGGGGCCTCAGTTCCACCCTGTCTTAAGAGTGGCCACACCTCAGCTTAGTTCCCAAGTCCTCAAACCAAACAGTACCTCCTGTGGGTCAGGAGGCTAAGCAGGGAGCAGCCTGTGAAATGAAAGTGATCAGAGCAAAAGGCTGCTCTCCTGTAGGGAACCAAGACTCCCGTGCGGTGGAGTTGCTAGGAGAAGACAATAAAGAAGCAGCCCATTCTGCAGATGAGTATCGACGATAGGAGCTTCCACGGGCCCTGGTTTCTCAATATAGAAAGTGGATGATCCAGCTAGAGGCTCACTGGTACTTTCTCATCTCTCCACGCTGTTTTCTCTGGATGCCTTCATAATGCTGCTGCTTGATTTACCAGAGGAAGAGCCAAGTGCCCGATAGAACAGCCCTCTCGTGGCCATGCTCTCCCCGGGCTCCGTCCCGCGGAGGCAGAGGCTCTGGTGGCGCCCGGCCCGGGCCTGCAGCACTGGCCCTGCGGCGGGCGCCAGGCTCCACCTGCCAGCTCCAGCCTGGGAACGAGGGCAGAAATGCCTGTCAGTTGATTACGATGTTCTCAGTCGACGTGTCTGGACAAGTGCTCGCTTACCTCACACCCGGAGATGATTGTGGCCATAGCTACGTTTAGGCATAATACTGACCTGCTTGATAACATTGTTCCTGAGTTGCCGCCTCCCCCTCTTGTTTGTTCTCCCTTTAGGTGGCCTGTGTGTGTGTGTGGCTACCTGTTTGCTAGATTTCTCCTCTAATTCAGTACATTTTTTCAGGCAAGAGAAAAAATGGGGTGCCTAAAGATGGGGTGATAGTGCTTCCAGAAAGGGACTTGTTTCCTTTCCCGCACCTCTGTCCTGAGGGGTCAAGGCCTACAGCTGTTATGACAGCAGGGACAGTGTGTCAGCCCCCAGACCTCCCTCAGCCCCCCCACAGTCGCAGGTCAACACCCAAGTAGCGTGCCCTCCAGGCGCCCCGCCCACCACCTCTCCAGCCCCCCTCCACGGTCATGCTGCCCCAGCTCTCCTGCAGAGAGTTCCCGAGCTGCCACTGGAGGTGACCAGGACTACAGGCTTCCAGGGAACCGAGCACAGCTGTGTCTCCTTCACCTCAGTCAATGGGGTTTTAGCCGAGAGGCTAGAAAGTGGATCCCCACCAGCACAGTCAGACTTTAAATTCCCAATGACATTTCTCTACAAAAAGAGAAAACTCTCGAGTGAATCTTTCCACATCCCAGTGTTCTCATCTGCAAAATGGGAATACTAGTGATTCCAAGACACTGGGCAGTTACGGGGATTATGGGACTTAATTCATGTGAAGCCCTTAGAAGAGGGCCCACCTGGTCCTTAATACCCCTAGGTCCTTTTCTAACCACTGAATGAATAAATCGAGGGAGTGAGTGAATACAAATTGAGTCTGTGCAACGTGTTACAAGTGAAAAATTTACACCCAGATTTAATTATTAAAATAACAGAGGTGAGAAATTCACCTCTTATATGTGGACGTTTTCTGTCCTTTATGTTGCATTTTGCACTGAGAAATACGTGTTTGTTTTCCCCCCAGGACTACACTTTGTTATATGAAGAGGCAAAATATTTTCAGCTTCAGCCCATGTTGTTGGAGATGGAAAGATGGAAGCAGGACAGAGAAACTGGTCGCTTTTCAAGGCCCTGTGAGTGCCTAGTGGTGCGTGTTGCCCCAGACCTCGGAGAAAGGATCACGCTCAGTGGTGACAAATCCTTGATAGAAGAAGTGTTTCCAGAGATTGGCGACGTGATGTGCAACTCTGTCAACGCAGGCTGGAATCACGACTCAACGCACGTCATCAGGTTTCCACTGAATGGCTACTGTCACCTCAACTCAGTCCAGGTATGGCGTTGTCACACTGTGTGGCATCAAGCGTCACTCTTAGTGCTGTTACTTACGTAACCTTGCCTTCACATGGTGCCTGTCCTCCAGTGAGCTGGGAAACTCTTGTGGTAACACTTCTGTTGGGTTGGTAAACCTGTTCACCCCTCTACAGCATTAATTCAGTCACTCCACAGATATTATTGAACAGCTGCTTATGTGCCAGGCGCTGGTACGAACACGGGAGACAGAGAAGAGAGAAACAGAGACATCCGCTCACTGTTCATGGAACTTACACTATGGGAATGGGGGGAGGGGGCGCACAAGTAGTAACCAACACAAGTGTTGGTCAGGTAGTGACAAGAGGATATCTGGGATTGAGTGTTTCCAGCAAGTTTCCAGCAGTTTCCAGCAAGTTCTGAAGACCCTGAGATAGGAGTGTGTTTGGGATAGTGAGGAATATCAGGGACGCCAGTGTGGCTTGAACAGAGTGAGGCCTGGGCAGGGAGTGCTAAGAATGAGGCCAGGGATAGATTGTGGATTGCTTCATGGAGAAGGGTAAGCACTCTGGGATTTTTGGTGTTGGTTTCTTTTGGTTTGGGGAAAGCCATGTGAGAATTTTGAGCAAAAGAGTGACATGGTGCCACTCGGATTTGAAAATGAATCCTCCAGCAGCAGGTGGAAGACAGTGGACGCAAGGGGGACAGTTAGAAAGCTATGGGCCAAGCAAGAGCTGAGAAGTGTCTTATTCTGAATATCTTGAATGTAGAGCTAACAAGGTTTTCTAATGATGGCTTCAGGTCATAAGGCAGAAGCCAAGAATGACTAAAAATTTTTTTAATCCTCACTCAAGAATATGTTTTTTTGTGTGTGTGTTTTTTCCATTGATTCGAGAGAGAGAGAAAGGGAGAGAGAGAAACATCGATGTGAGACGGAAACACAGATTGGTTGCCTCCCACACGAACCCCAACTGGGGGCTTACAATTTTGTTATGTGCCCTGACTGGACTCGAACCCGAGACCTTTCGTTGGTGCATGGGACGATGCTCTTACCACTGAGCCACACCGGCCAGGGCTAGAATGACTAAAATTTTTGACAGAGGAACTGGATGAATGAAATTGCCGTTTTCTGAGATGGAGAAGTCTATAGGAGAAGGGTGGAATTCAGAAGTTTGGGTCACACCACCTGAGGTGCCATGTGCCTCAGACGCTGGTGGGTGTGGTCATCCTAAGTAATGTGTGTGCCAGCCCTGGGCCAAGGGTTGTAACCTGCACTGCCTTCTTCTAACAACCCTAGCAGGTGAACACTATTAATCTCCCTCTTTTGCTGAGGAGAAAACAGGCATAGCTGAGTCTTGACTCCAGGTCTCTGTGACTCAAAAAGATTTGGAGTCTGTGGCATGAGGATTTGGGGGTTTTCCCCCTCCTTTTAATTGGAATGGGCCCGTGACTTTGCTATGGACCCAACAAAACCTTTCCCAAAGCCCAAAGACTAGAAGCATCCACTCTACCATTCTGCCTCTTGACAAGTGTTCCACAACTATTTATAATTTTTTAAATTGATGAGCCCATGTTTGAGAGCAGGACAGCAGAAACTGTTGTCAGAAACTGGGCCCTGGGCATGCTAGAGGAGGTCACACACTCTCAGGGTTAGCTAGATCCAGAGGTGCACCCCACACACCCTGCCCCGCTCTCCTCTCCTCTCCACAGAGGGAGGGGAGAGCCATCCGTTCAGAGCAGGACAGCATTGCATGGCTTCTCTAGGGCTCCATCTCTCACATGTAAACCCTCAGTCCACCCCTCAGGCCATTGAATAAAATCATGTGCCTAACAAGTTTCCCGTCATTGGAGCCTGCTCAGATATGGAGGTTTTCACCTGGATTAATGTTGTATGACATGACCATGACCCGCTCTAGCTTTCTGTTCCATTGACCAAGAAATTGGCACCAGGACGGTCCTCTAGGTCTTCAGAGACTTTGCGTTAAAGCACTAGAAACCTGAGACTACACAGAGTGATTTTAATATTCTCAAATGATTGCTAACTTTAAGGAACTTTTAAGATGATCTTTAAAAAGGAANATTTTAATATTCTCAAATGATTGCTAACTTTAAGGAACTTTTAAGATGATGTTTAAAAAGGAATGGCTGGCGTGGCTCAGCGGTTGAGCATCGACCTAGGATCCAGGCGATCAGGGTTCGATTCCCGGTCAGGGCACATGCCCGGGTTGCGGAGCTGCAGCCGATCAGTGACTCTCTCACCATTGATGTTCCTNTCGATTCCCGGTCAGGGCACATGCCCGGGTTGCGGAGCTGCAGCCGATCAGTGACTCTGTCATCATTGATGTTCCTATCTCTCTCTCTCCCTCCCCTTTCCTCTCTCTGAAATCANGGTTGAAGGCTTGATCCCCAGTGGGGGGCGTGCAGGAGGCAGCTGATCAGTGACTCTGTCATCATTGATGTTCCTATCTCTCTCTCTCCCTCCCCTTTCCTCTCTCTGAAATCAATAAAGATATATTTTAGAAAAAAAAGGAATGGCTGCCCGGCCGGGTNAAAAAAAAAGGAATGGCTGCCTGGCCAGGCGTGGCTCAGCAGTTGAGCATCAACCAATGATCCAGGAGACTGAGGTTTGGTTCCTGGTCAGGGCCCGTGTCCCGGTTGCGGGCTCGATCCCCAATGGGGGGCGCGCAGGAGGCAGCGGATCAATGACTCTCTCATCACTGATGTTTCTCTCTCTCTCTCTCTCTCTCTCTCCCCCCCACCTCTCCCTTCCTTTCTCTGAAATCAATAAAGATATATTTTAAAAAAAAGTAATGGCCAAGAAGCATAAGCTATTTCCATGCTGTTGGAATAAGCTTTGACCACATCCAAGGTATCATCGGATCATTTTGAATAATTATCATATTATGCATATTGAACCCCTTGGGGAGGAAGCTTTGGGATGTCCTTTTATTAGCAATTTAGCAACTGGAGCAGCGCTGAGAGACAAAAGATATCAGAGTTCAGTTCTTTATAGTTCAAAGCTTCCTCTACCTTTGTAATTCTCGCCCTCATCATGGCAAAGAATCCTTTCCAGTGAGGTGGTTTGGCCCAGCAAACAGGGGTTTTTCTTGCTGACAGGCTGCATTCCTGCCTCTGCTGGGGAAACCTCCTCAGAGCGAGCTGGTCTTGGCCTGTTACTCACCTGCCCCAAAGCACACCTCGATTTTGAACTCAGGGAGTGTCTTCTTCATCCGGTCCTTTTGTCGACTGGTATGCATGCGTGTGCATTGTGACCACATCTCCAGAAACAGACCAGTGCAGGGTAGAAGGTTCGGTTTTTTTTCTCATGAGGACTTTTTTTTTTTTTTTTTAATTTGCCAGCATTTGAAGTTTTAATTTTCAGAAAGCATACTCTTGCTTTCTAATCTTATCTAGTTAGCTGTTTTACAAGATAGCAGATTATAGTCCGTATAAAAGTAGGTGACCAAAAATAATAATTTTTTTTTTTTTAAAATAAGGGTTCCCTTTGCATTGACTACATTCAGAAAGTTATTTAGTAACATTTCACTTCATTCAAAAAAGAAAAAAACTGAGCCAGACATTTTTTTAGTTATGATGGAGTCATCTTGCCTTTAGAATGGTGTAGAAATAATTTAATTATATCCAGAATCCTGGCAGGGAACATTTGCAAGTCTAATATTTGTTGAATTCCTAAAGAAACAGAATGCTCCAGTTCGGTTTCCTGTGTTTTTGCCTATCTGAGGGTTGTAGGAACTGTTTCCAGCATTTAAGAGTGTCAGACAGTTAGTAACAAACCCAGGGATTTTTCTGGCATTAGGTATTTGAGTCATTAAAGAATAGGTTAGGTAGCTTGTATTTATGTGAGATGTTTAGAATTTCTTTGTTTTGGATATGTTCTAATATATCACCATTACATTTATTCTTGCCTCCCTGAATGCACACAAGGCAATAAATCTGCTTCAAACACCACAAACTTGAAAACCTGTCAGTAAACCTCAGTTGTCTTCAGTTTTGCTTTTAAGACGACCTTAGCCTTCCCAGCTGAAATATATTAACTCAGAATGGGGAAACTTGAACAATGTCAGGGTCAAGAGTGAATGAGTGGAGAGTGAATCACTGGCTNAATATATTAACTCAGAATGGGGAAACTTGAACAATGTCAGGGTCAAGAGTGAATGAGTGGAGTAAATTCAGATAATATCACTGACTTTCCATATCCTTCACCTCATAGAATGTATTTTAGTGGCCAATGAACTTTGAAATGTGAGCCTTTTTTTTTTCCCAGAGAAGATAGTGTCACACATTGCAAAAAAACATGGGATTTGAGGCCAGTAGACCGGATTTGGAAACCCAATTCTATCACTTACTGTGAGCCTCAGTTTTCTCATCTAGAAAATGGGCTACCACCACCCATTATGACCGGAGGTTGTAATGATTAAACGAACTTGGTATGTGGAAAGCTAGCATGTAAAGGCACATTTTAGGTGTCAGAAACTATTGCTCCTTCCCTTCCCTTTAATTCAAAGTCTTCGTTTGAAAGCAGAAACTTAAAGATACATAAGGGTTAGATAAGCTTGACCAGAGCTGCACATGATGTCAAACTTTGGGACAGTTCTTTGGGCTGTTTTTGTGGCCAAAGGACATATCTCGCCCCTAACAGGATGCTTGTCTTGGCCTCTCACAGGTCCTGGAGAGGTTGCAGCAAAGAGGATTTGAAATCGTGGGCTCCTGTGGGGGAGGAGTGGACTCGTCTCAGTTCAGCGAATACGTCCTTCGGCGGGAACTGAGGCGGACGCCCCGAGGACCCTCAGTCATCCGGATAAAGCAAGAGCCTCTGGACTAAACGGACATATTTCTTATGCAAAAAGGAAAAAAACAAAACATACACAACAAATAACGCAAACAAAAATGGGACATTTATGTGCAGTTGGGACAGCAAACCAAGTCCTGGACCTAAAATTGAATGAGACACATTTATATCCAATAGAGACCACACCTGTACGCATAAGGGAACAATTGGAATAGTGATATCCTCAAGGTGTAAAAAATATATAAATATATATATATATGTCAAAAGGTAGGAAATGCAAAAAAAAAAAAAAAAAGGGG